GACGAGGATGAGGCAGGACTGCAAAGAGACCTGGAGAGGCTGGACATGTGGTCCATTTAACTGGCTTCTCGAATTCAATCCAGCCAAATGCAAAGTCATGAAGATTGGGGAGGGGCAAAGAAGACCGCAGACAGAGTATAGGTAGGTGGACAAAGACTACAGCCTCACTCGGGGAGAAAGACCTTGGGGTGACCAACCATAACACCGAGCACATCCCCGGAGGCACACATAAACCCAAAATAACCGCTGCAGCATACGGGCGCCTGGCAAACCTGAAAAATAGCGTTCCGATACCTTAATAAGGAATCGTTAAAGACACTTTTACACTGTGTTTTAGGCCCATACTGGAGTATGCAGCCCCAGTCTGGAACCCACACCTGGTCAAGCACGTCAAGAAGTTAGAGAAGTACAAAGGTTTGCAAAAAGGGCTAGTCCCAGAGCTCAAGGGAATGCGTACGAGAAAGGTTAAGGGAAATCGGACTGACACACTGGAGGACAGAAGGGTCAGGGAGACATGATAACGACATACAAGATACTGGGGGGGAAATAGACAAGGGGGAACAGAGATAGGATGTTCCAGAGAGGGGACCAGGGACAAGGGGTCACAACTGGAAGCTGAAGACTCGGACGAGTCACAGGGACGTTAGGAAGTATTTCTTCAGTCATAGAGTTGTCAGCAAGTGGAATAGCCTAGCAAGTGAAGTAGTGGAGGCAGGAACCATACATAGTTTTAAGAAGAGGTATGACAAAGCTCAGGAAGCAGAGAGAGAGAGGATCCAGTAGCGATCAGTGAAGAGGCGGGGCCAGGAGCTGAGTCTCGACCCCTGCAACCACAATTAGGTGAGTACAATTAGGTGAGTACCCAGGTATCTATTTTACACTGATGGGCGAACAGGGACAGCAGGTGTCTTATGGAAACACGTCCCTAATATTTTTCAGCCGTACCGGAGGAGATTCGAACCCCGGACCTCAGTGTTTGAGCTGAGTGCGCTAGCGATCCAGACACGGACCCAGTGGCCTGGTTTTAAGGCTCCCGCTTCACACACGGAGGGCCCGGGTTCGATTCCCGCTGGGGTAGAAACATTTCGACACGTTTCCTTACACCTGTTGTCCTGTTCACCTAGCAGCAAATAGGTACCTGGGTGTTAGTGGACTGGTGTGGGTCGCATCCTGGGGGACAAGATTAAGGACCACAATGGAAATAAGTTAGACAGTCCTCGATGACGCACTGACTTTCTTGGGTTATCCTGGGTGGCTAACCCTCCGGGGTTAAAAATCCGAACGAAATGTTATCTTATCTTAAGTTTATTCGGACACAAATAGTTACATAGATAATCATACATAGCAACATACAGTTACATAGATAATCATACATAGCAACATACAGTTACATAGATAATCATACATAGCAACATACAGTTACATAGATAATCATACATAGCAACATACAGTTACATAATCATACATAGCAACATACAGTTACATAGATAATCATACATAGCAACATACAGTTACATAATCATACATAGCAACTTATACATAGAGAAGTTAGGGTAAGACAAAAAAGACAAAGTGACATATTATGAGATAGTTTCCGGTGAAGCTGAGCTCAATAAGACGTAAAGTTTAGTGTCCCTTAACAACCTTAACAACAAGACGGTGAAGCTGAGCTCAATAAGACGTAAAGTTTAGTGTCCCTTATACAACCTTAACAACAAGACGGTGAAGCTGAGCTCAATAAGACGTCAAGTTTAGTGTCCCTTAACAACCTTAACAACAAGACGGTGAAGCTGAGCTCAATAAGACGTCAAGTTTAGTGTCCCTTAACAACCTTAACAACAAGACGGTGAAGCTGAGCTCAATAAGACGTCAAGTTTAGTGTCCCTTAACAACCTTAACAACAAGACGGTGAAGCTGAGCTCAATAAGACGTCAAGTTTAGTGTCCCTTAACAACCTTAACAACAAGACGGTGAAGCTGAGCTCAATAAGACGTCAAGTTTAGTGTCCCTTAACAACCTTAACAAACAAGACGGTGAAGCTGAGCTCAATAAGACGTCAAGTTTAGTGTCCTTAACAACCTTAACAACAAGACGGTGAAGCTGACTCATAAGACGTCAAGTTTAGTGTCCCTTAACAACCTTAACAACAAGACGGTGAAGCTGAGCTCAATAAGACGTCAAGTTTAGTGTCCCTTAACAACCTTAAACAAGACGGTGAGCTGAGCTCAATAAGACGAAGTTTTAGTGTCCCTTAACAACCTTAACAACAAGACGGTGAAGCTGAGCTCAATAAGACGTAAAGTTTAGTGTCCCTTAACAACCTTAACAACAAGACGGTGAAGCTGAGCTCAATAAGACGTAAAGTTTAGTGTCCCTTAACAACCTTAACAACAAGACGGTGAAGCTGAGCTCAATAAGACGTAAAGTTTAGTGTCCCTTAACAACCTTAACAACAAGACGGTGAAGCTGAGCTCAATAAGACGTCAAGTTTAGTGTCCCTTAACAACCTTAACAACAAGACGCCTCACCTCCACCTTGATCAAATACATAATACCACAATGGCTGCCCAGAAATTCACTTTATCTTTCTCGAAGACAATAGAGAAGAAGTGTCTTCAGCCTTCAGCCATCAGGAACGAGGTTCCAGCTGAAGTCAAGAACACAACTGAAGTTTTACAATCCATCGAGGAAAATGTCTTGAAAACGTAGCTATTACTAGATTATGTGCTGTGTAGTCCTACGGGTTTAGCGCTCACCCATGATTATAATAATACTAGATTATGTAAGTTTATTTAGGCACAGGTACTGCTTCTTACGGATTTATTGCTTATGATTATAATCCCCTCAAGGGAGGTTCCTTGATGTTGGTGAGAGGCTCTTGATCTAGGGCATTGGATCTGTGCTCCAGTTCCTGAAATGTGCCGGAATACCTTCCATTCCCCCCCCACTTACGTTGTATAATCCTACGCGTTTAGCGCTTCCCCATTATTATAATAATAATTATAATAATAGGCACAGGTAGACATAAGTATAATTATACATAAATTACCGAGGATAACCAAAAAAAAATCTGATTTATTTCCATTAGGGTCCTTGCAGTACCTTATTATTTAAATCTTAAGTGTTAAAACAGTTGAGTAATTCATTGTAAATGCACGTCCCATGCAGTTATACTGGTGAGGGCTCTTGATCCAAGGATCTAGAGTTATACTCCCTTTAGCTCCGATGTGAATACCTCCTATTACCCAGATCACTTTGACTTTTTCGGGTTATTCTACGTAAGCTTTATGTAACTGTATGATAATTTGTGTAACTATATTTATCTTTACCTGTACCTAAATAAACTTACTTATTTCCATTGGGATCCTTGACCCCAATAGAAATAAGTTATCTTGTCTGAAATTTTTTTGGATTATCCTAGGTAGTGTACACTATGTATGATAATTGTACGTATGTGTACCTGTGCCTAAATAAGACAACATAGTAATACCTGTAAATCTGAACGTGCAGACATGAGGGTTCTGCTGTACCATCATTGCTTTATAATGATAACATGCTCCTTTTTAAGTTGCTTACTAATCATATGAAAATACCTTGAATAATTTTAAATGTTTAATTTTCAGAGATGGTCCAACAGAGGAAGAAGAGTTGGTCATTCCACTGGTGAAGGCAGACAGAGCTGCAGTCTTCCAAAAATTGGTGGAAAAGCTCAAGGAATCAAAACGTAAAGAGGAAGACGAAGAAGGTTCAAAGAACCCTGCAACTGAGGAGGAAACGAACAAAGAACAACCCAGGATCTTAACACTGGATGAACAAGCTGAAGCGGCATTGTTGGAAGGTTGGAAATTTGAGCAAACTGAGAGTGAATTTTGGTAACATGGTTAATTAAAAAGTACTTTGAAACCTAGATGTGTGTGCGGACGTGCGTATTGGAATATTATATATAAGTGTAGTATGGTAGGAAGTAGGTATAACATATTGGAGATGGGTCTTTGCAAGGGCTGCAATGTAACAGAACATGGAACTTTCAAGGTTGAAATTTTAGTTTTTCATATTTTATTTTAATCTAAATTTTGTTATTACCTATGTATTGTGTATTTTTTGGTAGAAAAATAAGTTTTCAGCATTTTAGCTATTTGTTTTTTATAATGCATTTGAAAATTATCAAATGATTTTTGCCATTCTTTCTAATTGTCTTCATTTCTTGCAGTGTTCTTGTAGATTGTTCCTCCTATTTCTTTAAGTGTATATCATTTATATTCTTATGTACTTACATTACAGTAAGTCTTGTTCAAGAATCAAAATTTATTGAAATTTATTTAAAAAATACAGTAGGTAGGTATATTCATTTAAATATGAAGTTGGCATATAGTATTCATGTAAAAATCATATGCTTAAGTATACCTTATTTCTCCCATATTCAGTCATTGCATTATCGTATAAGTACTGTATATTTTCAGAGAGCAAGAGGAGGCTTGACACTTACAGTGACCGAGGGACAAATGACAATTTTTCCATCTCCTTGACCGCTAAGGAAGAGAAACTTGAAACTAAAGTAGTTGACCTTGGTAAAGAATCTTCTCTTGATGATTATGATCAGGTAATTAATATACCATATTTAATCATACACTTACTCTCTTCTCGTTACTGTGAAGACTTACTCAGCCCTGTAACAACTTCAGACAGTATTACCAAGGCTGGCTCCTCCTCAGAAAAATTAATGAATAGAAAAAGAAATAATTCACAAAGATAAACATTTTATTATTTATTAATGCAAATGTAAAACAGTGAAACATGAAGGTGTATCCTATTTGAAAGAAAAATGAAAAATGAAATGAAAAAATGACATTGGAATTCAAAGCTAATATGTACATTTATACTGGGGTGTCTGGTGGAGGTTGACACCGTCTTGTAGAAATTGTAGCCGTTACTGATGATGGGGGGGGGGGGGGGTCACAGGTGTTGGTGACAACCCAACGGCTAGTTCTTCACCGAGTCTATATAGCCTTGAATAGTCAGTCCAGATGACAGGAAAGCAGGTTCTTTACCACTACAAAGATGAGGGGTTGTTGTCTGCTATAGCTTACAGTTAATCAGGTTGGTAGACCCAAAAAGTGACGTCTCCGGACTTTTACAAAAGTCCTTCTCCTTCAACACTTCTCGTTGGTTAGCAGGTGACCCGATCTGTCATTCCAAGAGTTGTGCTGGGAGCTGTGAGTCGAGTGATTACTGTTTGACCGGAGCCCCACATGTCACCTTGGGTGGGGAGAAAGGGGGGGAGGGGATAGCGGGAGCTAGACTTACCCTACCTTAACAAGCAGCCGGCAATCAAACTATCGTTACCATATAATCACTCGCTACTCCTATCTGTTGAACTTTTCCCTCACACTCCCCCATACTAAGACTTATAGTCAAGGAGTATAAGAAGAATAGGCGAGGAAAAAGTTCTAAAATGTGGAAGTCGCATAAGGCAACAAATCTACTGACTGTCACGACTTAACCAGTCAGAGATATAATTGGATGAACCATTGATATACACAATATGGAACTTAAAAGCTTGGAGTCCACCTCAAGAGGCGACTGTTGGTTCCCTTAAAAGTTTCCTAGGTACAGTATATCAAAGGTTTGTGATCCATTTCTAAAACAAATTCTTTTCCCAGTAAATAAAATTTAAGTTTGGAGATACCCCACACAAGGGCCAAACATTCCTTTTCTATGGTGGAGTATCTTGTTTCTGCAGGAGGGAAGTTTTAGATTTAATAAATATACAGGAACTAGGAGTGTGTGTACAGTGGACCCCCGCATAACGATTACCTCCGAATGCGACCAATTATGTAAGTGTATTTATGTAAGTGCATTTGTACGTGTATGTTTGGGGGTCTGAAATGGACTAATCTACTTCACAATATTTCTTATGGGAACAAATTCGGTCAGTACTGGCACCTGAACATACTTCTGGAGTGAAAAAATATCGTTAACTGGGGGTCCACTATATTTTGTGCAGTAAGCACCTGACACCTATTGCAAGAACTATACTTCTTTGTAACCTGTAAGTACATACATGCTTGGCCAAAAATAAAGTGTGCTTGAGTTTATGCCACATCTTACGATGGGCCAAGTGTTTGGTCACTGGCAAATCATGAGTCATTTGAAGAACAGTCTCTTGACATGGTTTAGGAACAACAAGGAGGGAATAATCTATCGCTGAAGAATGAGATTTAACCCTTTCAGGGTCCAAGGCCCAAATCTGAAGTGGTGCCCCAGTGTCCAAGAATTTTCAAGAAAAAAATTTGTTATTTTTTCTTATGAAATCGTAGAGAATCGTTTTGTGAAGGTAATAAAACAAAAAGTACGAAATTTGGTGGAAAATTGACGAAATTATGCTCGCGAATTTTGATGTGTCATCGATATTTACGAATCGGCGATTTTGCCGACTTTGACTCCCATTTTAGGCCAATTACATTATTCCAATCAACCAAATTCTTAGCTATTTCACTAGTATTACTTCTATTCTATCGATTGAGCACAAGAAATCGCCAAGTCAACTGTTTCAACTACAAAATAAAGTGATTGGAAATTGTTAATTTGGCCAATTTAACACAAAGTTCAAAATATTCCAATTTCAAAATAGGCTCCAGAATAAACAATGTAGGTATTCCTGGAACTAAACTAACATTTCCTCTGTTCATTAGTTACATTTTGAGGCTTTACAAATAAATTCCATTTTGATTTTTTATTCACATAATGAATTTTTATTCACACCAAAAAATAGAAGATTTACTGTTATGCAATACTGTAATAATTGTAATAAATATCATCACCATATTTGTGAATGTATAATTAGACCCACCAGCTGACGTGTATTAGATGTGTGAGGTCGTTTGTTTACTCTTGAATATCGGCAAAAATTTAACATTTCCGCTACTTTGAGCTCAGTTTCAAGCCATTTCCAGTGCTAAAACCAATCAAAATCATCTCTATTTCTGTAATATGTCTTCCATTCTATCAAATGAGACCAAGAAATCGCAAATACAACTATAAAAAACATACGAAAAAACACTGCAAAGTCGCTGTTTTAATCGAAAAATCATGATTTCAGTTTTTTTCTCTCATTATACACAGTGTGCTGCAGGATCTGTTTTATGTGGTGCACACATACCACATAGATGTATTCTCTCATATCTAGGCCCAAATGTACCACTCACAGTTTATCAGAGTGAGCTGAGCTCATGGCGTAGATCTACGGTTTGGACACTCACCGTAAAGCCGTAGATCTACGGGACGGACCCTGAAAGGGTTAAATACAGATTTATATAAGATACCATTAATATATTCAAACTTATGAGATACGTATCTCCCGTGGATAACTTTGTTGTTAAAAGCTTGATTATGACAATCCCGAAGTGAAGGGCAATCGCGCTGTAAATTGACAAAGTCATCCTTGGACATAAAATCTGGGAAAATAAAAGGACTTACGGTGGGAGAAGAGGAGGTAGGAGAAGCCTGGGCTTTGGTCTGAGCCCAAGTCAAGACATTGAGAGTGCCGGAGGCAATACCCATACTTTCACCTGACGAGTGGACAGGTGATCCTGCTACCTCACTATTGAGAGCAGTATCATCTGTTTCCACCCCCAAATGAACAGTACGAGACAATGCAGCTTCCAGTGCATTGTTAAGGGGCTTATTTAACTTGCAAGGAAGAGGAGCTGGAAAACTTGGATCCACGGGTGGTGACGAAAGATCCGCCTCTGAAGGAAGAACGGCACCTTTAATGTTACCTACTATTATAGAACAAGTAATTGGGGCTAGTACCGCATTAGTCCAACCGGTGAACCATTTAGTTTTCAAGTAACAACGTATTGTAGGGAAAGTATTTTCACGACCCAAGTAATCTGAAAGAATAGAGGACACACGAGAGGTTTTAAAGTAAGGGAACAGTTTGTCCGAAATTACGATGTACGTACATCCAGTGTCACGTAATATGTCTGAGACTTTTATACCATTAACTGCTCCTGAACAGAAGGGTGCCTGGTCATTACAGTCAACAAAGCATCTACCAACTTTCTCTATTTTGTTGGAAGGACAATCTGGACGTTTATGTCCGATACCACCACACCGATGACATGTTGGTATAATAGCTGGTGACTTTGTTTCTACTGTAGGCTTCTTAATCTTTGGTTCAGGTGAACCATTGCCCTTAAGGTTCGATCCCTTTAGGTCTTTATAGGAATTATGAGCCTCAGCATACAAGTCAGAGGCCTCAGCAACTTCCTCAGCTTTAATCAGGTTATGTTCTCTAATGAATGTTCGTATCTGGTGGGGAAGAGCTGTCAGAAACTGGTCAGCAACCATGAAGTCTCTAAGAGATTCATAACTGATCAATTCCTGAACACTATCCAAAAGTCGAACAAACGAAAGAGTGTTACCTGTAACTGCTGAAAGTTTTGGCCATGCTGTAAGGTGGCATACCTGAAATCTTTCCTATAAGAATTTGTGGTTTTTGATATGCTTTAAGGATTGCCTTCTTCAGTAGGTTATAATTACATATACAGTGGACCCCCGCATAACGATTACCTCCGAATGTGACCAATTATGTAAGTGTATTTATGTAAGTGCGTTTGTAAGTGTATGTTTGGGGGTCTGAAATGGACTAATCTACTTCACAATATTTCTTATGGGAACAAATTCGGTCAGTACTGGCACCTGAACATACTTCTGGAGTGAAAAAATATCGTTAACCAGGGGTCCACTGTATCCTGCGACAAAGTTGCATAGATATTCATAGCTGTACCGGAAAATAACATACCTAACCTGGTAGCCCAGGTGTCAGCTGGCCATTCACAGAGGGTAGCGGTATTTTCAAACCTCATAATGTATGAAGTAATGTCTTCACCCTCTGTGAAGGGAGGTAAATTAGGTGTTGGAATATGTGCACTGACTGCACGTTGTTCCATTACTCCTTCCTCTAATTGTTGTTGTGTAAAAGTTAACTTTTTATTCTCTAATTCAAGGCGAGATTTTTCGAGCTCACGATCTTTTTCTCTCTCTCTCTTAACTCATGTTCTCTAGCTCTTTCCTCAAGTTCTCTTAATTTAACTTGTTCCCCACGTACTTTAGCTCTCTCCTCACGATCAAGTCTATCACGCTCCCTTTTGTCTTCTCTTTCTCTTTCTTGATTTTCTCTTTCAATTCGATCTCCTTTTTATCCTCTCTTTCTCTTTCTAACTGCCTTTCTTGGTTCTCTCTTTCAATTCGATCTCTCTCCTTTTTCTCCTCTCTTTCTCTTTCTGTCTTTCTTCTCTCTCAATTCTTTCCTTCTCCATTCTTTCCTGGATCTTAGCACTAATGAAAGCTTCTAAATTTTTCCCCGTTATTCCTAACTTACTTCCAGCGTTCATCCAAAACTGGTATTCCTCCATACTTACAAGAATAACTTAAACTACCAGGGGAAAATGAAACGGATATATCAAAGAAAACAGAGGGTTCAGTTCCTGCTCCGCTCAAACTGTAAATAAATCGGAGGGTTCGATCCCTGCTTCGATTAAACAGCATGTGTGAATGAAAACGGAGGGTTCTATGCTGGCTCCGAGCAAACAGTAAGTAGAATGGGGTCCCTTGACCATCCAATCTTCTCACCAACAAATCAAGAGTGTCCTACGACAGTTCCCTTGATATAATAAGAACATAAGAAAGGAGGAACACTGCAGGAGGCCTGCTGGCCCATACTAGGCAGGTCCTTTACAATTCATCCCACTAACAAAACATTTGCCCAACCCAATTTTCAATGCCACCCAAGAAATAAGCTCTGATGTGAAAGTCCCACTCAAATCCAACCCCTCCCACTCATGTACTTATCCAACCTAGATTTGAAACTACCCAAAGTCCCAGCCTCAATAATCCAACTAGGTAGACTGTTCCACTCATCAACTACCCTATTTCCAAACCAATACTTTCCTATGTCCTTTCTAAATCTAAACTTATCTAATTTAAATCCATTACTGCAGGTTCTCTCTTGGAGAGACATCCTCAAGACCTTATTAATATCCCCTTTATTAATACCTATCTTCCACTTATACACTTCGATCAGGTCCTTCTCCTTCAACACTTCTCGTTGGTTAGCAGGTGACCCGATCTGTCATTCCAAGAGTTGTGCTGGGTGCTGTGAGTCGAGTGATTACTGTTTGACCGGAGCCCCACATGTCACCTTGGGTGGGGAGAAAGGGGGGGAGGGGATAGCGGGAGCTAGACTTACCCTACCTTAACAAGCAGCCGGCAATCAAACTATCGTTACCATATAATCACTCGCTACTCCTATCTGTTGAACTTTTCCCTCACAGTTATGGATACAAAATAACTTTTGTAAGGAATTGTGATACATGTAATTCAGGATGATTTCTTTCTATTTTAATCTTATTAACTTTATTTTTTCTTCATAGGTTGATGTATCTGTTTATGGAGCAGCACTTCTCAGGGGGATGGGATGGAAGAAGTCCGAAGGCATTGGTCGAGGAAATAAAAAGTACGTATAATACATAAAAAAAATTTGTGTTGAGATTTTATGGAGTGAACTGGTAAACCAGTGGAAGGTCTCAGTCAAATGACTAAATGCTGCAACAGAAATTTTCCCCAGTATCCTAAGAACAAAATTTGCCCCTCCCCTTCTTGTGATGGGAGGCCCAGTGTCTACATACAGTATATACATACTTAGCCTGAAACTATTGATACATTATACAGTATACAATTAGCTTGTGGTCATATGATGGTCCCTGAATTGCATGTTTTCATTGCACAGATAACCCGCACATGGGAGACTAATACACATGATAACATTTCAATCCGACTTAGACTATTAACTAGTCACACTTATATTCTCCCCATCAGGGAGTTGGAGAGGGAACATGTATTGTACATATTGCCAGTGAAGTGTTTGTGATCCAAGGAGGGAGTTACCCAGCCCTTCCTTGGATCAAAGTACAGGACCTCTACTGGTTTAGTGTTCCATGAATATAATAATAATTTACTTAATGGTATATTCTTTGAACTTATTAACTTCATTTTGTGATTTTTTTTTTTTCAACAAGTCGGCCGTCTCCCACCGAGGCTGGGTGACCCAAAAAAGAAAGAAAATCCCCAAAAAGAAAATACTTTCATCATCATTCAACACTTTCACCACACTCACACATAATCACTGTTTTTGCAGAGGTGCTCAGAATACAACAGTTTAGAAGCATATACGTATAAAGATACACAACATATCCCTCCAAACTGCCAATATGTGAATATATTAACATAATCTTATGGAGGCAGTGAAATAGTAACTTAGATAATACTGTACTTGTAAATGCCTTGTCACTCTGAGGAAAAGTGTTTTGAGAAAATATTAGAGCAGTACTATATTTGAAGTATGCTTAACTCCTTCAGGGACACTACACTGAACATTTTCCAAAAAGTTAAAGGTTTGAGACTATATTTCAGTGTTTAAGAATAATAATAGTGAAGAATAAGAATATTGTGACACCTTGATTGTTTTGTTATGCTGTCACATAGAACTATGTCACTGAGGCTACAGGGTTCCTACATAGTTCTACATGAGTTCAGCTCACTCAGATATAAAATAGCAACTTTGATTTGTTTTCTAGGATGTTTTTTTATGGTTTTATTGGTTGCTTCTTGGTATCATTTGATAGAATGGAACACATGATGTTGGTGAAGGGCTATTAATCCAATGTATTGGAGCTGCCCTTCCTTTTCTCAGATCAAACTTGATTACCTCCCATTTCCCCATAAATTTAATAATGTCACATAGGTGCTAGAAAGGTGAAAATATTGAGATTAATAGAAAGGCTATCGTATAATATAGTTATGTAAGATTATTTTTTTTACGTTTCAGAGTGGTAGAAATCATTAATCCATCTTCAAAAACGTTTGGACTGGCCGGTAAGAGACCTGAAAATGAAGCAGTTGCAAGTAAAGGAGGTGCTCAAGAAGAGGAGTTAACCCTTGCCAAAGGATCATGTGTGTTAATTCACAGTGGCCGGCATCGTGGGACATATGGAACAGTGAGTTCTCTCTTTGATTGGGAAAGTTGCTTTAATTTTACATCTTATAGTGCTGCAATTTCTAGTAGTAAGATAATACAGGTCTCCCTCAACATTCGCGTTTTCAACTTTCATGGGCTTCACACATTCGCGAATTCCTAACCGCCAAATTTCCAACTGCCAAATTCCCAGGCGCCAAATCATATTTAAGTTTCCTGCCACCCGCGAGTCCCTACTACCTTTCCTCTGAGCCCCGCAACTGGCAGCCAGCCCTCCCACCACTCAGTGTGGTGAGTGTTTTGTTTGTTCATTATTTGCTATTAAACTACAGTATAAATAATGTCAACCCACTCATGACTGCATATTGGAATGGCCATTTGGACAGGTATTGGACAATGACATCATATGTTTACTCTTGAACACGGCAAAGAATCAAACATTTCTGCTACTGCTAATAAAAATAATAATAATAATAATAATAATAATAATAATAATAATACTATAGAATTGAAGAAGGAAATTGTACAAAAATATGAGGGTTGAATCAGTGGTGGAGGAATTGGTTGAGGCATTGTCAGTCAGTGTTGTCTTGTTTATGCTGGAGTGAGCAAAGTCTCCACACTCTTCCAAACATTTCACAATAATTCATTGTGTTTGGTGCTTGTAGATTGAGTGCAACTGTAGTGGTTGAGGCAATGGTTGAGGCAGTGGTTGAAGCAATGGTTGAGGCAGTGGGTGAGGCAGCGGTTGAGGCAGTGGTCTTTAATAACATCTATGTTATTAATAATAATAATACATATTATTAATAACATTTATTATTATTATTATTAACATGTATGCTATTAATACCACTGCCTCTACCACTGCCTTAACCACTGCCTCAACCGCTGCCTCAACCGCTGCCTCAACTGCTGCCTCAACTGCTGCCTCAACCACTGCCACTACCACTGCCTCTACCACTGCTTATACCACTGCCTCAACCCCTGCCTCAACCACTGCCTCAACCCTTGCCTCTACCACAGCCTCAACCACTGCCTCTACTACTGCCTCAACCCCTGCCTCAACCCCTGCCTCAACCCCTGCCTCAACCACTGCAGTTGCACTCAATCTACAAGCACCGAACACAATGAATTATTGTGAAATGTTTGGAAGAGCACAGAGACTATTGCTCACTCCAGCATAAACAAGACCACACTGACTGACAATGCCTCAACCATTTCCTCCACCACTGCTTCAGCCCTCGTATTTTTGTACAATTTCCTTCTTCAGTTCTATAGTATTTTTTTTTTTTTTTTCCAACAAGTCGGCCGTCTCCCACCGAGGCAGGGTGACCCAAAAAAGAAAGAAAATCCCCAAAAAGAAAATACTTTCATCATCATTCAACACTTTCACCACACTCACACATTATCACTGTTTTTGCAGAGGTGCTCAGAATACAACAGTCTAGAAGCATACACATATAAAGATACACAACATATCCCTCCAAACTGCCAATATCCCAAACCCCTCCTTTAAAGTGCAGGCATTGTACTTCCCATTTCCAGGACTCAAGTCCGACTATATGAAAATAACCGGTTTCCCTGAATCCCTTCACTAAATATTAATACGATAGAATTGAAGAAGGAAATTGTACAAAAATGTGAGGATTGAATCAGTGGTGGAGGAAGTGGTTGAGGCATCGTCAGTCAGTGTTGTCTTGTTTATGCTGGAGTGAGCAATAGTCTCCACACTCTTCCAAACATTTCACAATAATTCATTGTGTTTGGTGCTTGTAGATTGAGTGCAACTGCTACATAATTAACCGTGGGCCAAAAGAAACTTGCTAGTGCCAGCCCTTTGGTAAAGAAATTGAGAAACATGATAGAATTGAAGAAAGAAATTGTACCAAAATATGAGCAGTGTGCTGCAGTGGTATTTAATGACATACATGTTATTAAACCATAACATATACTATAATGAAAAGTGAAATCAAAAGTATATTAAAATTATAACCATCAGTCATTAAAAAATTACAAATTTTTAACATATTTGTGTATTTTACCAAAGAAATTAAGGTGAATGAGATGCCCTCAGGTGTTAGCATGCAGTGTAATTTTTCTTTTGATTTTCCTCATATACAGGAATATTATGCATTACAATATCAATCAGCTTGTCTGGCCTTCACCACTGTTTGATTCTGTTGTTTTTATGGTAATGTTTCTGATTTGGTTCTGGGAGTTATCTTGATGTGTAGTTCATTCATTTCTGGAGAATGTTCTTCAATAAGTCTCAGTTATACAATATGAGTAAATTATATTATAATCATAAGAGTCCAAATGTATTCTTGAGTCGAAAAGTTGTAGATAGCTGTCCATCAGTGCTGCTAGTTTTAAGTGTTCATTGCTTCTCATTCCAGTCTTCATTGTCCATGATTATAATTTGGTTATGCTGTACTACAAATGTAATTTGTTCTAACAATATCGTATGCAGTAATGAGCATAAGGGCTGCACAGCAACACATCAGTACCCAGCTTGGCAGATACATTTACTTTGGTTATTACAATGTTATCTACCACAAAACTAAAACATTTTGAATGTGTTGCAAATGTTGGTGATTGCCAGTTTTATAAAAAAAATTTAATGCTTCAGATGTTGTTTTTATGTAGATGGTTTGTACAATATAGTACAAGTTGCTGGCATAGCACAAGTGTAACAACATAAAGTAGAAGTTGCATTTGAATTTAAGGAAAAGACATTCAGTCAAACTTTGAGAGTTATCTTAGGCCTGTTGGCTCTTGTAGGCTCATGATTTTAAATTCATACTTTTGTTTTTTAGTATGTACACCTACCATCCGACTTACGACCTGCTTGACATACATCCGCTCGACTTATGACCGTGCATCTGGCAGCTGGGCTGGGCTGGCTGATGCACACTGCTGTACAATATTTGACGATACTCGCGGCGGCAATGTGTCATGCAGGCAGCATCAGTTTGTGTACCCCTGCCCTATCAGCAGCATCATACTGTATCAACTGTACTAACTGGACAGTAAATTTCACCATGGCCCCTAAGATGAAGTCTGAATCTTGCACCGGAGATTGTGGCAAGAAAGGCTCTTACTCTCGAATTCTCTATTTGTTTTCACTGTTGCACATAAACCTGTCTGTATCTGTTTTCCTGTATATCTGTGTGTCTGTTTATCTGTCTGTCTGCCTGTGTGTCTGTCTTTCTGTCTACCTGTGTGTCTGTCTTTCTGTCTACCTGTGTCTGTCTTTGTCTGCTTGTCTGTCTCAGAGCCGCTCATTAAGAGTGTAATTGGTCTTGAAGACGCCATATTAATAATGATAACACCACAATAATAATCACTGAGGCACATTAAATGTGTATAAAACGTTAATAAAGACATTTTGCTTAATCCATATATGATTTTTTTTCAAAATTATATAATAAACATGCTACATAACATATAAATTAACAAATATGAGATGTTTTTCTGGTCGGCTTGACAGAGTGAACAAAAACCATTCGTGTCCAGGCTGGTAACAACAACAATAATGTTTGTTTACATAACTCACGAAACTTCTACATGATTATTATATTATAGTTTAACCCTTTGACTGTCGCGGCCGTATATATACGTCTTACGAGGTACCGTGTTTGATGTATATATACTCATAAATTCTAGCGGCTTCAAATCAAGCAGGAGAAAGCTGGTAGGCCCACATGTGAGAGAATGGGTCTGTGTGGTCAGTGTGCACCATATAAAAAAAATCCTGGAGCACGCAGTGCATAATGAGAAAAAAAAAACTCCGACCGTTTTTTTTAATTAAAATGCCGAATTTGTGGTCTATTTTCGTATAGTATTTATGGTTGTATTCTCTTTTTCTTGGTCTCATTTGATAGAATGGAAAACATATTATAGAAATAAAGGTGATTTTGATTGATTTTACTATAAAAAGAACCTGGAAATGGAGCTCAAAGTAGGGGAAATGTTTGATTTTTGCCGATGTTCAAAAGTAAACAAATGATGTCATTGTCCAATAAATGTCCAACCAGCCATTCTAATATGCAGTCATGAATGGGTTGATGTTACTTATACAATTATTACAGTATTGCAGTAGTCTGCATAATAGTTAGTCTTCTATTTTTTGTTTGAATAAAAATTCAAAATAGAAAGCAAGAGTAATATCAGAGGGGCCTGGAGACATGACTGACGAACAAAGAAAATGTTATTTTAGAGCCAGGAATGTCTGCATTATTCATTCTGGACCTTATTTTGAAATTGTCATATTTTTAAATTTTTGTGAAATTGGCCAAATTGCAAATTTCTGGCCACATTATTGGGTAGTTGAAATCGGTAAATGGGCAGTTTCTTGTACTCAATCGATAGAAAAAACAGAGTTCTAAAGAAATAGCTATGAGTTTGGTCGACTGGAACAACGGAATTAGCCGAAAATAGGGCTCAAAGTGGGCGAAATCGCCGATTTGTAAATATCGCCGAGGTCGCTAACTTCGCGAGATCATAATTCCGTCAGTTTTCCATCAAATTTCGTTTTTTTGGTGTCATTACAATTGGGAAAAGATTCTCTTATCATTGATACAGAGAGACAGCCACATTCAGTCAGCCAGTCAGCCAACCACCCTCCCACCCACCCACCCGGCCCGATACGTATTACACATGTTCCAGAGTTGTTTCTCTTTACTTAGGGTATAGGTTATACTACATTCTGGCAGGATGACACTACCAGTGGTATTCTTCCATTCCATTGTGTCCACAATACATAAAGATAACAGTAACATATGATACTGTATGCGATGTAAATTTACAGTACAGTTCACTACCATGTATACATTATATACAGTACATAAATAATTAAAATATAACAATAAAAGTAAATTATGGTAAAAAGAATGAAATAATGATTGTACATTACATTACAGTACTATGTAGATAGTTTATATAGGAAAGGTTTGACATTATGCCCTATTCAGTATGTCGGCAATTTTCAAAGATTCGACTTATGTCCATTTTGACTTACGACCGGTTGGTCGAAACCAAGCTTGGTCGTAAGTCGGATGGTACCTGTACAGTGGTCCCTCGCTTTCCGTAGTTCTCGGGAATCATAGATTTAGGAAATCATAGGGATATTTTTGTATGAACATGGGCTCGCTAATCATAGGTTGACTCTTGAATAGTAGTTCGTCCAGGACGCATACGCACAGTGTGAGCCAGGGCGGCCTCCCTACCCAGCCAGTCTGGCATTGTTTACCAGTGAGCGAAGGTCCCCTAAGTGCTCCTATGAAATATTTCATAATATTCCACTCATTTTAGTGCTTGCAAGTACTAAATAAGCTACCATGGCTCCAAAGAAAGCTCCTAGTGCCAAGCCTGTGGTAAAGAAGGTGAGAAATATGTACAGTGACAAAGTCTTGGGCCATTTTAGGGAAGTGTTAAAGAGACGCCAGAAACAGAGCTCTCTCCACAGTTATTTTGCGAGACAGGACTAGAGTGACTCTCAAGGTGGTCCTAGTGGCATTAAGAAACAGAGAAGAGAAGCAACCCCAGAAAAGCAATTGGTACCTGAGGTGTTGATGGAAGGGCATTCCCTTTCCAAACTGTCAACAATCCACTCTCTCTCCTCCTCCAGTTTCCCATACACTAAGAAGAATCTCCAATAAAGGTAAGTGTTATGCTGTTAATGTTTCATTCATCATTTCCCATTGTATTGTTTTTGTACTACATGTATATTTCATGTTAAAAATTTTTTTGTTTTAATACTTCTGGGTGTCAGGAACTGATTAATTGGATTTACATTATTTCGTATGGGGAAAATTGATTCGCAAATCGTAGATTTCGTTAATACAGTAGTAGCAACTCCAGGAAAGGATTAACTACGAAAAACGAGGGACCACTGTATTTGATTTTTTAATAGAACTAGAGTACATCAGAGGATTGAATCACACCATAGTCTCATCTAAACATTTTAAAGTTAAAAAAAAAAAATTAAACACCAGCCGTCTTCCACTGACGGAGGGTGACCCAAAGAAGAAGAAGAAGAAACAAAAGTTTTTCTTCTTTTTGCATTTAGTATTTATACAGGAGAAGAAGTTACTAGTCCCTTGCTCCTGGCATTGTAGTTGCCTCTTATGACACTCATGGTTTACAGAGGACTGGCCCTTCTCCGCTTCCATCGAGTAGTAATGTATGTATAAAAATAATGCTTATTTGACATGGGGAAGTGGAACAGGATTCTTCCTCTGTAAGCCATGCGTGTTGTAAGAGGCAACTAAAATGCCAGGAGCAAGAAGCTAGTAACCCCCTGCTCCTGTATAAAATACTAAATTTAAAAAGAGAAACTTTAGTTTTTCTTTTTGGGCCACCCCGCCTCGGGGGGATACGGCAGGTTTGTTGAAAGAAGATTTTTATTCAATATTATCTTTTTTATTTAACTGTATCTTGTTTTGCAGGTGGAGTCACTGGATGAAGACCACCTTTTAGTAAAGGCCGCAGTAAGCCAAAATGTAATCCGAGAAGTGGAATTAAATGTGAAAGTTGTTTCACAGAAGGAGTTTAAAGACATGTCAAGGGTCATTAACAAAGATATGTATGATAAGTTTAAGGTATGTTTTGTAATTTGTGTTGAATATGTATGTATATTGACAGTGCTTTAATAATTTGTTGAATATGTATGTATATTGACAGTGCTTTAATAATTTGCTTTACTTTTCATTCAATAAAAAATTTATGCTTCTCATAGTTATACAAGGTGAAAATTATAAGCACCAAAATCAAATTGAATTTTGATGCTTATGTTTTAACTCTACTGAGTTCAAAATGAAGAAAATTTTCTTAAGAAATATCTGGTGAATAGTATTTGGATTATCCATCTTTATCTGAATAGCGTTTGATTGGACAACAATGAAAATAGTTTACCCAGAATTTCTTCATATTAGCTTACCTGGAGTTTACCTGGAGAGAGTTCCGGGGGTCAACGCCCCCGCGGCCCGGTCTGTGACCAAGCCTCCTGGTGGATCAGAGCCTGATCAACCAGGCTGTTGCTGCTGGCTGCACGCAAACCAACGTACGAGCCACAGCCCGGCTGGTCAGGAACCGACTTTAGGCGCTTGTCCATTGCCAGCTTGAAGACTGCCAGGGGTCTGTTGGTAATCCCCCTTATGTATGCTGGGAGGCAGTTGAACAGTCTCGGGCCCCTGACACTTATTGTATGGTCTCTTAACGTGCTAGTGACACCCCTGCTTTTCACTGGGGGGATGTTGCATCGTCTGCCAAGTCTTTTGCTTTCATAGTGAGTGATTTTCATGTGCAAGTTCGGTACTAGTCCCTCTAGGATTTTCCAGGTGTATATAATCATGTATCTCTCCCTCCTGCATTCCAGGGAATACAGGTTCAGGAACCTCAAGCGCTCCCAGTAATTGAGGTGTTTTATCTCCGTTATGCGCGCCGTGAAGGTTCTCTGTACATTTATTAGGTCAGCAATTTCACCTGCCTTGAAAGGTGCTGTTAGTGTGCAGCAATATTCCAGCCTAGATAGAACAAGTGACCTGAAGAGTGTCATCATGGGCTTGGCCTCCCTAGTTTTGAAGGTTCTCATTATCCATCCTGTCATTTTTCTAGCAGATGCGATTGATACAATGTTATGGTCCTTGAAGGTGAGATCCTCCGACATGATCACTTCCAGGTCTTTGACGTTGGTGTTTCGCTCTATTTTGTGGCCAGAATTTGTTTTGTACTCTGATGAAGATTTAATTTCCTCGTGTTTACCATATCTGAGTAATTGAAAAACAAAATCTTAAACAGTGTCTGACTTCATTTTATTTGTTTTAATATGTATTTTACACAACAGTCTCCTGCATACACTTGTCCTCTAAAATAACCATATTTCCTCAACCCCCCCCCCCCTTTTTTTTTTTCTTGTACACATCTTCCACATCAGTTAGTCAACAGATGGGTAACCCAAAGCTTATTGAATGAATCTGCATAAAATGCTAATTTACATTTAGTTTAATATCTTATTATGCACTACATATCCATCCGCTAATTTATAAATGTTGCAAATATTGTGAGTGCTATAAATACAATGATCTTTTATCCTGCGTATAATACCATTGAGGAGTATATAATATTTACCTTTTTGTTCTATTCTGTAAGCTTAACGTGGTCAGTATGTAAGCTTAATGTGGTCAGTATGTAAGCTTAATGTGGTCAGTATGTAAGCTTAACTTGGTCAGTATGTAAGCTTAATGTGGTCAGTATGTAAGCTTAATGTGGTCAGTATGTAAGCTTAATGTGGTCAGTATGTAAGCTTAATGTGGTCAGTATGTAAGCTTAATGTGGTCAGTATGTAAGCTTAACATGGTCAGTATGTAAGCTTAACATGGTCAGTATGTAAGCTTAACTTGGTCGGTATGTAAGCTTAACTTGGTCAGTATGTAAGCTTAACATGGTTGGTATGTAAGCTTAACTTGGTCAGTATGTAAGCTTAACTTGGTCAGTATGTAACTTAATGTGGTCAGTATGTAAGCCTTAAAACTTGGTCAGTAAAGTAAGCTTAAGTGTGTCAGTATGTAACCCTTAACTTGGTCCAGTAGTAAGCTAAACTTGGTCAGGTAATGTAAGCTTAATGGTGGTCGAGTATATAACTCACGTGGTCAGTATGTAAGCTTAACTTGCAGTAATGTAAGCTTAACTTGGTCATTAGTAAGCTAATGTGGTCAGATGTAAGCTTAGACATGGTTCATATGTAAGCTTAACTGGTCAGTATGTAGCTAAACTATGGTCAGTATGTAAGCTTAACGTGGTCAGTATGTAAGCTTAACTTGGTCAGTATGTAAGCTTAACGTGGTCAGTATGTAAGCTTAACGTGGTCAGTATGTAAGCTTAACTTGGTCAGTATGTAAGCTAACGTTGGTCAGTATGTAAGCTTAACGTGGTCAGTATTGTAGCTTACGTGGTCCAGTATGTAGCTTAACGTGGTCAGTATGTAAGCTTAACGAGACAGTATGTAAGCTTAACTTGGTCAGTATGTAAGCTTAACGTGGTCAGTATGTAAGCTTAACGTGGTCAGTTCTTGTTCTTGTCCAGACCAGAGCTTTGGTGAGATGGGTAAGGAAGAAGGATGGGTAAGGATAGAAATTTTGGAAAAGGGTGGGAGGGGGGAGAGAGGTAGGATATAAAAGGTAAGTGGCCCAACCACTTTGGTGTAATTTAAAGTGTACGTGAAATGATAAGATATTCTTAAGGGTTGTAAGACTAACCCATCAGAGTCACATAGATATAACAGATATATAAGTACAGTGGACCCCCGCTTAACGATCACCTCCAAATGCGACCAATTATGTAAGTGTATTTATGTAAGTGCGTTTGTACGTGTATGTTTGGGGGTCTGAAATGGACTAATCTACTTCACAATATTCTTATGGGAAAAAATTTGGTCAGTACTGGCACCTGAACATACTACTGGAATGAAAAAAGTTCGTTAACGGGGGGTCCACTGTACATGACTCGATTGGTATTAATTATAAACAAAGTTGCAAATGCTTTTTTTTTTTTTTTTTTTTTTTTGCGATGCACAACGGATATTTATGCGACAATGAAGGCAATAATTTTCTGGCCAGTTTATAGAATTCCGTGACAATGGCTTCTTACAGTTGGTGTCCAGTCCAAAGTAAATAGGATAAAGTTTACATTGAATTGTTATATAAGATGTCCCCAATGGGGGCGATGGATGTTCTAGTATAAACATAAATGGGGGTTCGGTGTTACCCCCAATCTCTTCATCAGGAGGTTGCTCATATCATGGGTCCCGAGTATCATCTTTATGTATAAAACGACGGACCCTCTGTGGGAGAGTCATTCTTTGAGTCCTGTGAGGAGGAGTATTGATAATATAATCCGTGGTATTTACCACTTGTATAGGATGTTCTCTATCTGGCATGTATAGTTCTTGCATTGTATAAAGTTTTCTTTTTTAGGGTGTCAAGGCGTACATTTATGGCAGTAATATCTTGTTGTATGTGTAAATCTGCCATTTTTACTCTGTCTCTCCTCCTGGTATCGGTAATGAAGCGAAGAGCTCTATTCTGGACCCTTTGTAACCGTAGCATATTTGTCTTTGTTGTTAATGACATTGGGACACAAGGGTATTCGAGTATAGGTCTTATTAACATTTTATACAGATGTTTTTTGACATGTTGAGGTGCTTGATTGAATCGAAAGAGACTGCTAAGACCAGCTTTGGCTATGTTGATCTTTTTAGTTACATGAAATGTTGAGTGGAGCAGCCTGTCTATTTCGTATCCCAAAATCTTGTTAGGGTTTCTAATGGCTACAGGTGTACCTCTGATGGAGATACCTCCTTTATCTTCAATTGTTGATGCAAAACATCCTATTGTGCTAACAAGGACCTTGTCAGGATTAGTCGTAATTCTCCACTTCTTTTCCCAATTAGATGTTCGACGAAGTTCAATATTCATTTTTTCTATGACTCTCTCATACTTGTATTTTCCTGTTACCGGAGTTGATGAGATGACATGAATAACATCATCTGCAAACTGTGTCACAATTGTATCACCAAACTCTGGTTGAGGAAGGTCATTCACATAAATGTTGAACAGAAGTGGACTGAGACAAGAACCTTGTGGGACAGTATGTAAGCTTAACTTGGTCAGTATGGTTGGATGACTACCATGCAACTTTGACTCTTTTATTCAGAAGTTTTTGGCTACTTTTTGCAACATATAATAGCACAGATTTCTTTTCAACTAAATCCATATTTTTTTTATCAGGAAGAGGAAGCAAGAAAGAAAGACAAACTGAAAAAAACAGTGAAAGAGGGTGATGCAAACAGCGGTGATGAGGAAAACAAGAAAACACTAAAAGGAGAGCAAAAGTTAGAGAAAACATGTAAACAGGAAGAAATTCTCAGTGGTAGAGAAGGAAAAAAAGTGAGCAAACATAATGAATCATCCAAGGTTGAACTAAAGCTTATTAATACAGAACTGACAAGAGAAACAGAAGATATAGAAAAAGCAAGTAGACACAGTAATGATAGCAAGTGTGGAGGAGAATATGAAAGAAACAAAGCTAAGAAAGATCATAACCTATATAGCAAAACTTTACCAAGGAAAGTTGAGTCTGATGTGCTTGATGACAAACATCAGTTTGAGAATAGTAAAAAAATTGTAGGTAAATATTTTAAATATGATAAATATGAGGGAACCAAGAATGAATTGCCCAAGCACATTGATCATTCTCAAAGTTCATATTCAAATAGCAAGTCAAAAGCCAAAAAAAGAGAATATGAAGATAATGATCAAGAATCAAATAAGGTTCACAAGGTGCACAATAGAATGCCAGTTATTCCATGGGTACGAGAAAACCTTCGGGTTCGTTTGATAAGTAAAAGTTACAAAGGAGGAAGATATCACAAACAAAAGGTAAGTCCCTGTGTCAGAATTGTTGAATTTCTATTTATATTCATGGTTTGTGCCTTTTTCCTAAGATTTTAATTGAAGCATTGGAAAATCGATTGATTGTCTTATTTATAAAAATGGCACAATTTAAAAAATAATTGTGTAATACTATAGGTTTGACTCTATGAACTTCAAGGTGGTAGTGTTTGGACCCAGCTTATGGATGTGGGCTGCTATAAGTTCGAACCTATAGTATTACACACAATTAAAAAAAATTGTCTCGCATGTACAAATGTATTGCATGTACAAAGTTTCTAACATGTACGTACAAATGCCATTCAAGAGTAGAGACAAGGGATTTGGGACAAGTAATACTAATATAGTCTTATCTCTTGATCTTCAGTTCTAATATACCAGTACATAATGAAATAATCATGTGATTAATAATTATTATAGTTTAATAAACAAACAGTAGTTATAATGATTACAGGCATTATACATCAATTTAAATTTTACAAACCTTGGGAAATAAAAGATGAAAAAATTCATGACTAATAGTTATTATAGATAACTGTTATACCATACTGGTACCAGATCCCTTATCTACCATTGGAAAACCTGGCAGGACTCAAAAACTGGTTACATTCAAGGGTGAATTCATGTACGAGATGCTCGCTGAATGCCATTCATAAGATTTTTGAAATAACAAGGATTTCATGTAAAGCATGGTAGAGTATTTACTGTACTGTCCAGTGCTACCAAGGCCTGGAACACTGTGCCCCAAGGTACAATACAGGACTTGACTGGATGACTTCACAGTTTATGGAGTGCATGGTACTTGTGGGAGACAGGACAGGTGGTAAACTTTTTTTTTTTTTTTTTTTTTTTTTGGGGAGGGGAGGGGGGAGGTTCAAATTTATTAAATTTTTGTGTATATCCTTCTTAGGTTTATGTGCTTGGCAAAATGCTGGTTTGTAGACTAATAATAATACAGTGGACCCCCGGTTCCCGATGCTATCGGTATCCGATAAATCCGGTAGCCGATGCATTTGATCGAAAAAGAATTTGCCTCCCTTCCCGATACAAAACCCGGTATGCGATACGATTCGTATGAGACGTGCCCAGTGTTTACAAGCCAGCCAGTGTGCGCGCATCTAAGGATACATTCGGTACATTTTGTATTATCCATATTATTGCTGTTTTTGGTGCTTGTTTCTGCAAAATAAGTCACCATGGGCCCCAAGAAAGCTTCAAGTGCCAACCCTTCGAGACCAAGGGTGCTAATGACTATTGAAATGAAGAAAGAGATAATTGCAAAGTATGAAAGTGGAGTGCGTGCATTGGAGCTTGTCAGGTTGTAAAGTAAACCCCAATCAACCATCTCTACTATAGTGAGCAGGAAAACAGCAATCAAGGAAGCTGTTCTTGCAAAAGGTGCAACTGTGATTACGAAACAGTGACCACAAGTGTTAGAAAATGTTGGGAGACTGTTATTGGTGTGGATAAATGAAAAACAGATAGCAGGAGATAGCATCTCTCAAGCGATCATTTGTGAAAAGGGTAGGCAGTTGCATGACGATTTGGTAAAGAAATTGCCTGCAACTAGTGGTGATGTGAGTGAATTTAAGGCTAGCAAAGGTTGGTTTGAAAGATTTAAGAATCGTAGTGGCGTACATAGTGTGATTAGGCATGGTGAGGCTGCCAGTTCAGACCACAAAGCGGCTGAAAAATATGTGCATGAATTCAAGGAGTACATAAATGCTGAAGGATTGAAACCTGAACTAGTGTTTAATTGTGACAAAACAGGCCTGTTTTGGAAAAAATTGCCAAGCAGGACCTACATTACTCAGGAGGAAAAGCTACCTCAAGTCCTAATGGAGGGGGATTCCCCTTCTAAACAATAGGTTCAACACACTCCCCTCCTCCCATCCCATCAATCATCACCAGATCTTCATTAAAGGTAAGTGTCAATTATTCTATTGTTATTGTAATTATTCTATTGCATTAAACTTAATATTTCATGTGGTAAAAGTTTTTTTTTTCATACTTTTGGGTGTCTTGCACGGATTAATTTGATTTCCATTATTTCTTATGGGGAAAATTGATTCGCTTTCCGATAATTTTGGTTTACGATGAGCTCTCAGGAACGGATTAATATCGCAAACCGGGGGTCCACTGTATATTTATTGGAAAACACTAAAACCAAAGGAGTCACATAGTGAATATCAATACTGACAGGTTGGTAAGACTCATAGGCAACATTTAGGCAACTTTATTCTGAAACGTTTCGCCTACACAGTAGGCTTCTTCAGTCGAGTACAGAAAGTAGGCAGGAGCAGTAGAGATGTGAAGACGATGTAATCAGTCCATCACCCTTGAAGTCATAGATTTGAGGCTGTCAGTCCCTCAGCCTGGAGAAGTTCTGTTCCAAAGTCTGGAACTAACTGAAGATCAAGCGACAGTGTTGAGACTTAAATACTGTCGGAAGGAGAGGTGCAGAGTAGTAGTAGTAGTGAGAATGTAGCCACTGAGAGGTCACATCCCTCTCAGATCAAACAATTCTCACTTGAAGAAGTTGTACAAGGTGTTTTCTCTTCTGTACCAAGTATTTAAGTCTCAACACTGTCAATTGATCTTGATAGTTCCAGACTTTGGAACAGAACTTCTCCAGGCTGAGGGACTGACAACCTCAAATCTACGACTTCAAGGGTGATGAACTGATTATATCGTCTTCACATCTCTACTGCTCCTGCCTACTTTCTGTACTCGACTGAAGAAGCCCTCTGTGTAGGTGAAACGTTTCGGAATAGTCATATAGTGCCTGACTCAGACTAATAACATTCCTATTGATTCCTGTCCACCATCTTAGCCTCAGCCAGAAGTTTGAATCATTTCTAGTGTACATATTCATCAGTTTTTATTTTTAATGTATTTCGTGGAGATTAGAGGACTTAAGAGGTAGTCAATGATTGGACAGTGTTGAATGACCCATATGGGGTCAACACTCTCCATGAATATAATACAGAAGTAACAATTAAAGGTTCCCAGGTGGGTAAAAGGAGAGAAAAAACAAAGAAAAGAGTATACAATAATGTAAAGTAATTCACTTCAGGTTATTGTACAAAGCGTGGAAACAGCCGAATGCTGTGAATGTGTCACCGAAGAAGGGAAGGTTCTGAAGCAAGTTCACCCTGCCTGGTTGGAAACAGTCATACCTAAAGTTCATCCCCAGATTGTTATGATTGTTAGAGGTCAACAAAAAGGCCAGGTAATGTATCTGCTAAGTGAGAAAATGGTGTAATAACTATAGTTGAAACAGTGAAGGTATAATTTGTATTATTAATTTAATGTTTCCCCGCAGTGCTGTATGACCCTTGTTGGTTTAGCACTTTCTTTGATTCTTCTTTCAACAAACCGGCCATATCCCACCTTTGATTGTAATAATTTAATGTTTATTTACAGAAGGGCCGGATATTACAGCTGCATAGAGAACAAGAGAAAGCTTCTGTGCAGTTTCTTGAAGATCCAACTGTAATCGTCAAATTTCATTACGATGACGTTTGTGAATACGTACAAAGATAGTGAACAGCTATCTAGAGGTTAACACCAATACTTTCCAGTGCTGCATATTTACCGTTTATGCTGCTGTTCAAACATATATGTCTCCACTAACTTGATAATACATGACCAAATACCAGTTTTTTATATTTGACCTGTTAATAAGAATTGTGTAAAGACTTAATAATATATTTTTAAATTATATTATTATTATTTTCCTCGGCAAGAGAAGGCTGAACATGGATGATCATACGTGTTAGGTTATTTTCATTAAAAATTGTTTCATCAGAGATTTACTCATCATTCTGTACATTTAAACATATATGCCAACATAACTCATAAAAAGTATTTAGAAAAAATATATAATATTCACTTTTAGGGATTATTATTATTATTATAATCAAAAAGAAGCGCTAAGCCACAAGGGCTATACAGCTCACTTTTAGGGAAAAGGTGTAAATAAAGATAAGTGAAACATGTGCAACAGCTAAATATCTTTTATTGCAGAAAGAATTTACCCAACTGCTGCACTCATCATACTCTTCTAGCTGTCAGTATTGTATATCATTAATACCATGATAAAAGCAGATAAATACAGCCAATTTCAAGGAATACAACATAACAAAAAATTTAAATAGTAAATGAAATTGTACTACATAAAATGACTGGCTAGCAAATAGCCTAAAAATTATATACAGTATATTACAAAAAATATTATTTTACTCCATCCAGTAAGCACGTGCACCATATCGAGCAGGGCCACGAGGTGGATCCTCAGGCAGAGGTAGTGGTTTATCAGGGAATTCCACGGGAACCTCAACCGGTTTGGGCCTGAAAGACGTGCAGTTATTATATAGTATATCTATATATAAAAAGTTCAGGTTTCCACATGACCTGTTCATTTCTCAATCCCCTCCTTAAACTTACAGTAATAACTGCAACAATGTAGCATTTATGATAATGCTATAATAACAATTATCCCATTCAGGTTTATCAACTTGACAAGCAATATAGAGAATATTTTTCACTGCTAGTACTTCCTCATTATACCAATTTTGTCAGGCAGGTGCTCGACCATCATTCACCTTCTTTCCCTTTAAGTTGATAAGATGGTTATCTTTATACTGAGACTTCATCCAAACAACTGGGGCTACCCTCCCTTACTTTACATCAACGCTGATTACCCCTCATTCCTAGGCACTGTATCACCTCTACAGGTTTTGAGCTTATTTATATATTGCTCACCTTTCCCCACAAAGCTTATCAACCCAAGGTAAGTTTATTCTTGTAGCCTGTTTTTCTCCCCCCACTCTCCTATTCCCTGCCCTAGAGTATCATACTGCAGTACAGTGTAGTAATTTTTTATTCTGTAAGTTACAATGCTGGCACATTTTTAGTAGATTACTTCTAAATTTTGGGGACCGATTTTTTTTTTTTTTTTTTTTTTTGCAGAAAACTTAACTCTTTTGAAGTCAACTCTTATAATAATCCTCTTTGAGAAGTAACCCCATAATTTTAATTGAGGCCTGTATGTAGTTTAATTAAACTTAGTGCATACAGTTATTACACAAAAAACACGTTACTGGCCCACTTAATTCTTGGACACATTATTGAGTGATACCGAGTCATGAGCTTTAACAATCGGAATAATCAGCTCACCATGCAATATATTACAAAACAATACCATTTTACTTTTGGGTTTTAACCATACACTGCATATTATATCTCACCTTTTAGTATCATGAATTTTGGGTCTGCAGAAATAGCCTATCTCGGGGCGCTCCATACCCAGAGTGTCAAGGACGCACTTATCAAAGATGGCTTGAGTGTTGCGGCAACTGTGGATACAAAATGAATCATTATCCATTTGTGAAAACGTAAACAGCTACTGTAACTGTAATGAAAATGATAAAATCTCTTCATAATCTATGCATCAGCACTGTATGATCCTTATGGGTTTAGTGCTTAAATTACTTATTATTATTACTACTTAATTCTACACACAAGTAGTTTTAACACAACTGTTTTAAAGCCTGAATAAATATGATATTGGAAAATGACAATCTCTTTTTTGCTTCATTATGAATATCCCCATTTGTTCACAACTGCAGTAGTTATTTCTCCCTGAACAAAGTAAAACTGTTCATAGGGGCTTTTGTATTACTTTGTATTAAGACTAAACTAAGGGTTTCTTAAAATCATTACATGAAAACATTATGCTTTAACACAGCTACCTACAGCAAATGAAGCAAAAAAAGTATTCAAAACAATTTTGCTCTAATGCTGAAGCAGATGTCACACGATGAACATTTCATAAAATTATGTTGAATTTAACAATCCAGGGTATTAGGAGGCAGCATATGCTATACAGAACTGAAAGACATTAATACTAAAATTGCCAGCTATTATTAGTTGAAAGGCTCAATACAGCCTCTCCTCAATTAGCGACATACTCATTCACAGACGCCTCGGACTTACAACGGGCTCTCTGACCAGTATTCATACCTAAATAATGTATATTAGAGCTGATTTCCTCTATTATGGTTATTTCAATGTACAGTACACTACTGTATAATATATATATTTATTTATTATTTTATTTTATTATTATCACACTGGCCGATTCCCACCAAGGCAAGGTGGCCCGAAAAAGAAAAACTTTCACCATCATTCACTCCATCACTGTCTTGCCAGAAGGGTGCTTTACACTACTACTGTATAAACATTTAAAAATATACCAGAAATGTTGTAAATGGTGCAAATGTGACATTAAAACAATATCAAAGATGGTAGACACCAACTTGCTACCATTATAATATGCTCCTCACTAAGTGATGAATTCGTTTAACAACGTGGTCTCAGGAACTGAACTCCATCTTTAAGTGAGGAGAGGCTGTATACAACCATTATAATATGCTCCTCACTAGCGACAAATTCGTTTAACAACGTGGTCTCAGGAACTGAACTCCATCTTTAAGTGAGGAGAGGCTGTATACAACCATTATAATATGCTCCTCACTAAGCGACAAATTCGTTTAACAACGTGGTCTCAGGAACTGAACTCCATCTTTAAGTGAGGAGAGGCTGTATACAACCATTATAATATGCTCCTCACTAAGCGACAAATTCGTTTAACGTGGTCTCAGGAACGGAACTCCATCTTTAAGTGAGGAGAGGCTGTATACAATTAGTGTGTCTGCAACACTGTTCTGAGAGATGCATAATGCAATATGTCTGTCTCAACATGCAAAACTGGATACCATTACACTATAAACTACCAAATGTTAATCATCAATAGAGCTTGAGAGCTGTATAGCCCTTGTGGCTTAGCGCTTCTTTTTGATTATAATAATAATAATAGAGCTTGAGAATGTATAATAAATTTGGTGCTGCTACATCTGTTATTAACCCAAGGAAGTTGAGGCCAATATAGGTCTACATGTCCCTATCAAAATACCAACCTTCATTTTTAAATAATGCCTCAGTGTTTAATGTTCTGAGTCAATGTAACAAATCATTCTCAATATATTACATATAATATAACAATGTTTTTAATTTATATAAATGATTTATCAAAAGGAATTGTGTAGTATATTGTTTCTAGATGATGCAAAAATCTTGTACAAAAAGAAATAATCAAAATTATTCTCAATCTTATAGAACAAATGGAATAACAGATGGATGATGGAATTTAATACTGATACATGTATATGTCATGTACTGGAAACAGGAGAAAGCAAAATCAAACCAGATAAATAATACAGATAGAAACAAACTTTAGCAGATATACAGAGAAATGAAACTATGCAAAACTGTCACCAGATCATATAAGTGAAATTGTAAGAAATGCATATGCTACAATAGCTAAATATATAATGGTTTTCAAATATATGAAATATGCAGCTGCTGCATCATGTCCCCAAGTAAAGTCACTACTCTCAGACCATCTGGCTTATTAACAGTGTGGTCCTTTAATCTCTCCACCCCCAGGATGCAACCCTACAACAGTCGCCTAACACCCGGGTACAGGTCCGCCATCACAAATCCGGCAATCAGTTATTCGGCACTAATTTTGGCTAGCATAATTTCTGTTTGGTGGTGATACTTGCTGCAGGTAATAAGTCATTCCAATTTCTTTTTCTCCATTTATTGTTTTAACCTGCTTACTTTTAGCCCTAGCCATGGTTCCAATGAATAAAAGAAATGCTTCTCATTATGTAAAGCACCTACACAGTACATTATCCATTAAAGATAAGGTGGCTTTGAAGCCACTGTCAGTTGCCATGAGCTCAGTCTCATGAAGCAGGAGAATATGCTTTATTATTATGCTAATATCAACACTACAGCTTATTTGCCTATCACAATTGATCTAATATGACATAAGAAACAATATAAATAACATAAAACATGTTAAATACTCCAGAATGAATAATATTTGGCATAACACCGAGCAGTTCGACAGAGTTATGAAGAGGATATGGTAAACAAATATCATTCTCCTATCCTTGTCTTGGGGGCTTATGTTAGAGAAAACAGAGTATAGCACAGGGCTAACTATGATATACACTCGTACTCCACCATAAACATAAAATAAAAAAGTTATTTTCTCTCTATAGATTATAACACATAGCAGCATACGTGTAGAGAACCTAGAATAACCCCAAAAAAGTCAACGTGGCTCATTTTTAGTACCTGGCTTAGGTTAGCCATATGTGATTTTTGGTAAATATTCGATTCTCTGCCAGAGTAGAAACATTAGGCATGTTTCTTGACACTTGTTGTCTATGTTTACCCATCAGTAAATGGGTACCTGGGTGTTAGTCGACTAGTGTTTACCTGGAGTTTACCTGGAGAGAGTTCCGGGGGTCAACGCCCCCGCGGCCCGGTCTGTGACCAGGCCTCCTGGTGGATCAGAGCCTGATCAACCAGGCTGTTACTGCTGGCTGCAAGCAAACCAACATACGAGCCACAGCCCGGCTGGTCAGGTACCGACTTTAGGTGCTTGTCCAGTGGCAGCTTGAAGACTGCCAGGGGTCTGTTGGTAATCCCCCTTATGTATGCTGGGAGACAATTGAACAGTCTCGGGCCCCTTGACACTTATTGTATGGTCTCTTAACGTGCTAGTGACACCCCTGCTTTTCATTGGGGGGATGTTGCATCGTCTGCCAAGTCTTTTGCTTTCGTAGTGAGTGATTTTCGTGT